CTGGACGTGGCCTTGGGCAACCTGGTCTAGTGGGAGGTGCCCCTGCCTATGGCAGGGGAGTTGGAACGCAATCTTCAAGGTCCTTTCCAACCTAAACCATTCTATGATTTAAAATTTATTATCATTACAAAATCAAGATAAAAAGACTTATCCATTGACATTGCAAGTATTAGATTGCAACCCCTCAAACCACTTCACAAAGAAGGCAGGAAGGATCCCTGGATATTCCCCCAAAAATGGAGATGGCAAAGCAAAGCAGAAGGCCATGTTGCAATCTTTTTTTTTCCCCACAAGAAACATGCTTATTATTAAAAAAAAAATGTTATTTCTTGCACTGCTATTGCTGCACAAGTGTCACATACACTCAGAAAAAACCAACAGATTTTGGTGAATAACAAAACCCTAAGCCAGTTTAAGAATATTAACAAAAGAATGTGGATCCTGTTTGACCAACAATAAATAGGCTGCTTAGGTGAAGGATAAGTGAATAAGAATCAGAAAATTTTGGCATGTATTCACCAGTTATCCCAGTATATTGTTTTTCCTTCAGGCACAAGCCAGCTTCAGAGTTTGCAGATACAGTACTACTAGCAATTTTGTGATGGCCAGTCCTTCAATTCCTTGGAACCAACCAGAAGATCAATTACAAATCATCAAAACAGTCTTTGTACCCTTGGAATCCCATAATTACTTGACTTATGAGATAAACTGAGTATTTCAAGCTTTTGCAAATAGTAAGCTGTTTCAATTAGTACTTCGTTCCATGTTTCCTCCATACTCAAGGTTTAAAGGCTATCTAGGCCTTGTATCCTACAGTAGACCACCATCTCTGAAGGGAGATTTCCAAATCCTACTGTATGAAACTCAAAAGGCTACTGCAAGAGTGGAAGTGAACAGAAAGACAAAACTATCAATGAAAACTGCACCTGGAAGATTATGAATATAGTCATGAGGTACAGCAACCAAAAGCCAAGCTGAGATAAGTCTTGAAGGATACAACAATAACCAGTTAAGACTCTTCAGAACCACAGTGACAATACAGTAGAGGGCTAGCTAGGCAAGGAAGACTAGGTGTTGCCAACCTTGTCAGTTTCTAACATAAAACTCAGCAACAAAAGTGAATTATCCACCAGGAACTGCACTGGCAAAATAGCCAATAAAATCAAGCACATAGGTGGTGCAAGGTAGCACAACCAAGATGAAAACAGCAGTCAGTACATCAAGCCCAAAATGGTTGGAAAACCAGTTATTTAAGTATTACAGAATTTAGTCAGAGACAGCCAAACATAATACTTGGAAAAAACACTTGCTACACTGGAGGAAGGTTACTACTGGAGTCTCTACAAGATAAGACCTCGGGATCAAGACTCATTAGCAACCACAGCATAAAATGTAAAAACAAAGCCTGTTGATAGACTAATGCTGGGGCACTATGAAAACAGGAGAGGTTTATAATATCAAAGGAAGAACAGCACGGCCTTGCAGACTGGCAGAGCAAGAATAGAATGAAATTAAAAAATATTTTAAAAATCATTTACTTACAGACTAAGCATTTGTCTAAGAGTTGATTGCTTGAAAATGACTCAAGAGGAAGCCCCAAACATGCCAGCTGAGTCCAAAATTATAAATAGACAGTATGGTCCCAGCACCAGCTGAATAAGCTCTAAGGAAATTCCACCTCATGTACCATCTACAATTCTGCTTATGCACATCCAGGAAGGAGTACTTCAAGACAAGTCAAGTCACTCCAAGTACAAACGAACAAGTGTTGACACTGAACAGTAGGGATAATCAAAAGAAGGCATAATTTCTGAAGAGTTATGTGGCTAGCTGGCAAAAAAAAAAAAAAAGCCAAGAGAAGGTATGACTGCTGTGCATACTTATATTGGGGGTAAACATGAAGGAAAGCCAAGAACTACTTTGAATCAAACAAAAAGTTGATGTGGGAGTTAACAAGTATAAAATGGCCATGGTTAAATTTAGGCTGGAAGTTAATAAGGATCCAAACAACAGTCAGGCTCAGCTTGCTCTCTTTCAAAAGTGGAAGAGAAAACCTGAAACACTTCCAAAACTCATTAAAATGTGTACAAAGAGCTACAGGATCCAGTGCCCAGGAAGGCAAGGAACTACAATCCTGAGACTCCCTCCAGTTGCACGTTCTAAAATTTAACGAACAGGTGTGTTTTAAATGAAACTTTTTTAATTGGTCAGATAATCACCTGCATGTATAAAAAGAGACACTTAGAAACACCAGAAGAAAGAATGGATTTTGAGGACACCTGCAAGATTATCTCAGAGCAGTCAGGGATCTCTAACACGAGGCCAAATGCTGCACTTTGGAAGAACGGCTCAGAGCGTCCAGAACTGTGACCTGGCTCCTTACCTGACTGCAAATACTTCATCTTAAAAGCACCCGCAAGCTTTAAATTCAGCCCCTTCCAAAGCAGCTCCCCTATTTGGGGAAGGGAGAAAAGGCTAATAACAAGCAAACCCTTTCCATCTGATCCCTCTCACTCACTCGTGCTCAGCCACATCGGGCAGGTAAGCCGCGTTCTCTTGCGAGGGGTGTGCCATAAAAACCACATCCAGGCCCTCAAACGCTCCAGCCTTTATCAGGTCTATTTTGCCTCCTCCTTGTTCTTCCGCAGGCGTCCCCAGCACCGTGACCTGCAGCACGAACGTAGAGAGTCAGGGGCCGAACGGGGACCGGGGGAGGAGGGAAGGGAAGGGAAGGGCCACAGCCTCCGCCCTCGGGAGGGCTCTCACCTGGACGGCGACGGGCGCCGGCTGCGGCAGGGTCTCCAGGGCG